TTATATGTGGCTACTTCTTTACACTTTTTTCAATGATGCGCCAATAGCAGTGGCACATGCTCTTACATTTGCATGCATACGCTAATTGCAGTGACACCTGGGTGTAAAAATCTAAGACATGTGTCATAAGAGTTGGCGCCTCCAACGTAGTTATTTTGATATATAATTTGAAAAAATTGGTTCAAAGAAACAAAACAAAACACTCACTTCGTTTTAAAATGACATCATTTTAGCAAGTAAAATTTATTCTAAAATACCTGTTATTTTCACTTTTTAATATAGTAATGATTATTATTTTTTCAATTGAATTTTTTAATTATTATTATATACATTATTTTAAATATATTAATAAAGTTAATTTAATAAAATATAATGTTTTTTTTAATTTGTATTAATTTTTTTTTTAAAATAACATTTTAACAAGGACGATGTATAAAATAGTAGTAAAATCAAAGTTTTTTTTCTTCAATACACTGTTAACGTTTTTAAGTGTGAGAATCAAATTTACTAGTGTAAATTATTTGAACGACCAATGGTCAATAAAAAAAATAAAATAACTATAAATCAAATATAATATATGTATAAGGACCAAACAATCATTTAACCTATAAAAAAAACAAGATAAATTCTATATTCAAATCCAGTAGAACCGAATTAGTGGTTGATGTAATTATTTAGCACTGGATGTAGGAGTAAGACAAGTGGTTGCTTATCTTGAAAGAAATTATTGTTGTCATGATTGTTGGATCAAGTGATTTTACATGCTTCAATTCATTTTGTTTTGCAACTTGCCATTTAAAGATTGTGAATTAGTAGGATATATAAAATTTAAGTTTGAAAGATCAATGGTAACATATTCTTAAATGTTTACACTTTTTCAAAATCCATCCCTTCGCTATATACTAATGATTGATCTTATCGATAGGATAGGACAGTTTATTCTGCATCATTTCTGATAACAATGGTTGAAATGCCTATGATCCAAAATGATAGATCATAGAATAGAATAATGAATGAAATAGAAAATAAATTATCAGGAATAAAGTATCTATCGTTCAAGTAGAGCACAATGAATGTATGATATAAGAGCTTCTATATTAAAAAGTTATTAACACAAAAGTCCGATATATGATATTCTATTCAATATCATGTTTCAAATTGTTAAATTTTTTTAAAAATAAATTCTCTTACGGAGTGTAATTTTTCTTATCTTTGTTATCTCTAATTAGTTGATTTTTCTAAATGATAAAATTTTATATAATACTGACACTTAAATTTTTTTTTTTATTGAAAACCGATATCAACATTTGAAAATATATTTAATTTAATATTTTTTAAAATTATTATCGATATGGCAGATATTATGTTTTTAATGTTTGTGTTAAGTCTGTTTTCAATCATACTTTTTATTATAAATATTACCTCAACCAACCATCTATAATATTATTATTTATAATCCTATCAACGCAATATCGTTACACTTTATTCTCAAGTTAATTATTAACTAATTAATATTCTTTTTGATCTTACTATAATTTAATAAAAGTTTTTCAATGTTGATTATTAATTAGTCAATATTTTATTTCATACCTCCTATCAACACAATATTGTTACACTTTATTCTCATGCCGATTATTGACTAATTAATATTTTATTTCATACATTCCAGATCTCACTGTAATTCAATAAAAACATTGCACTGTAATTCAATAAAAACATTGCAGATGTTATTGTATCTTTATTTACCTCTAATTGGTTGATTTTTTTATATGATAAATTATATGTAATACCGACACTTAAAAACACCTATTAGAAATATCAACATTTGAAAATATATTTAATTTAATTATTTTTTAAAATTATTGTCGATGTTGTAGATATCATATTTTAGATGTTGGTGCATATTAACCACATAAATCTATTTTCAATAATCTTTTCTACTATAAATATTACCACAATTAACAACGTAAAATATTATCATTTCTAATCCTATTATCATTACATTTTATTTTACATTTTATTCTCATGTTGATTATTAACTAATCTCATGATTATTAACTAATCAATATTTTATTTTATACATTTGCAAATGATACGGTAATTCAATAAACGTTTCTCAATGTTAATTATTAACTAGTCAATATTTAATTCAATAAATTTTTTTAACAGTATCTTTATGTCACATAGAATCAGCCCTTCTCTATTTAACCACTCAACTTGAGTTTAATAATTTAGATCACCTTTTATCTCTCCATCTTTTTATTTTTCAGACTAAACAATATCATTTATTCAAAAACAAAAAAAAAAATGTTTAAACATCATTTATTTAAATTTAATAAAAAGACAAAACACTTTAAAAATACCATTTATTTTAATTATAAATAATATTAATTGAATAAAAAAGATTTATCTTTTTAAATAACATAAAAAAAATCATGCTCTATTCAATACTATCAATATAGTTTTATTGAAAGATGGACAAAAATAAAAAGCTATCACAAAAACAAATTAGATCAAGTTTTATCAACAAACAACAAGGAAGGACGTAAGAATATAATGAATACACCCTTCCCTGAATTTGTCCCTATTTTACAACTTCGAAATCTAGAATTTGAACACTTAACACAATGTTCTGAATTTTAAAACACATAAGAATATTTTTGGGGATTTCAAGAAATTTCAGGGAGTAAGAAAAGAAATTCTCTTGATCTTTTGTCATTAGAAGTCCATATACTTATTCAAGCCTAGGTAGTGAGTAAAAAGCCACTAAACAACTTTCATGCCTAATGAGCATAGAAAGATAAATGCAAGTAACATGTAGTTCAAATAAATGATGATCCTTCACAACTTACATAACAAAATCAAATTTTCTAGCATAAGTGCATGGAAGAGCAAATTTCGAAGTTCTCTACCTTATCCCCTCCGTTATCAAAGCCACACAGCTTGACAAGTTTTCTACGATTATATCAAAACTTAAGATGCATGAATCTGTTCGAGCTGCTGGATCATATTAGAAGTTGAACTCAAATGACAAACCTGATTATCTAAATCGAAATTGGAATAGATGTCAAAACATTCACCGTGCATCATAATTTCATAACCAATATCGAACACATATTTTATATTTATGCAAGAGCAAGATTACTAGCTTGCATACTCTGCGCAGAGCTCATAGTCAATGAATTTCAATTAAGATACACAACTAAACTATCCAACCCAATAACAGAACACAACATACACATTATTCGAAAATGAAAATCAATGACTTTCATAACCACATGCATAACTACCAAAATATATCAATCTGAAAAATTACTGTATAGAGAAACCAGACTTAATCCTATGCTTCTCATGAACCTGCTTTTCAAAATTCTGCCAAAACGTTGGAAGACGATACTTTGTCGGTCATGAAAACATTCTTCAGTAGCCCACACCTATCCAACCACAGTAGTAGCATTCAAAATATTAAAAATCACAATACAAGACATAGAATTAAGTAGTGAAGATTGTGTGCAACAGCACCAATTTAGAAGGAAAAAAAATGGCATAAAAATATGAAATTCAACCATCATGAAGAGAGAACAGCATAGATAGATAGAAGATATAAGAATCAAAATCGCGTGATAGAATAAGCTATTAAGCAAATGGAAATTTTCATAAGTAGTCAGTCAGTCACTAAAATTTTGCTAAACCCCTGCCACGTTAGTCCCTAAGACGTTATCAACTGTCAATATACAAGAGTATAGACTAATAGGAAAGATTTTTCAAAACATTACAAACTATTTATAAAACATCATAATGCTTATTAATTCAAATCCTATAGGACTGACTAACTAGGACAGAGAGTGATAACCTTTTCAGCACAGAAGACATTTCATATTGAAGTTACGTCTAGTGTCCGACATATGTGGTTACACTTTCATAAGTTATTATTGGTGTGTTTTGTTCGATATATGTGGTTACATTTTCTTAAATTATTATTGGCATCTAGTATTTTTATTTATGTGCTTCATAGATGATAAATAAAAATGGGATTTAGTCAATATGTACAATCAATGGTGTATACATGTGTTAGAACGACTTTCCCACACCAACACATATAGCATATGTTAGGAATCAAGTTAAAAACCACATCGCATTGGAATCTCGCATCCTAATGCAATAAAACATGAAAATAACGAAACAACTATTCGGAGCTTTTGTGTTGGTGCGGTTTTCGACCGCAATTTTGATCAAATTGATGGACACCCAAACATATATGTAGTTACAGTAACTCCCTTCTGCAGTTTCAAGTTATTATCAGCAACTACACATTAAGTTATTATAAAACTGAGTTATTGTAACCATGCGTATGTTTGGATACCCCATCAATTTGATCAATTGCGATAAAAAAACCACATCAACCACATGTAAGTGTCGAGTCTAGTGCAAGGGTTTCATAGGTGATGACAAAATTTAGGGCTTGCTCAATATGTATAATAGATAGTGTTTGCCACATGTAGGTTTTCGTATTGACTACCCCAAATTTCTATACATAATAGCATGCGCTATACCGGTTTTTTTAACCACAATAAAACACTTCACTATTTAGGGTTTACTCAATATACATAATCAATCGTGTCAGACACTTATTTGAACGAAACTAACACATGTGATTACAATAACCGCGTCTACGCATTTCCACATTCTCATATTATTACCCGCCTCAATGCATTTTCATATTCTCATATTATTACCCGCATCTACACATTTCCATATTCTCATATTATTACCCCCGTATCTACATATTTCCATATTCTCATATTATTACCCGCATCTACGTGTGTGTCAGTGATGATTATAGTATCAGAGTTTCATAAGTGATAACTAAACATGGGGTTATACGCAACATAAAAAAAATGCAGAGTCAGATAAAACTCAATCCAATCAAATCCATATACAACTGAAAATTTGAAATTAAAAAAGGAATGCAAAGTGATGATGCACCTGGGAGTGTAGTTCTAAACAGGAACAGTGAGGATACTAGCGAGAGTACCCAAAACCGCAAAAGCAAGAAGAGGACTAATATCAAGAGTATCAAAAACAGGGGGAATAACATTCCTGAACAAACTAAGATAAGGATCACAAAGATCCCTAATTGCAGAAAGTGGCTGTTTTTCCCACGGAATATTTGGGAACCAACTCAACAAAACCCTAACTAACAAAACACCACTGTAAATATCCAACCATTTCTTCAATCCCGACGCTACAACCGTCAACGGCGTGTTCAGCGAAGAACCCTGACTACTCTTCCTCACTAAAGCAGCAAAGAACAGCGACGACGACGAAGTTCCAATCGATAAACAAAGCTCCGGCGGTGGAAGAATTTTAACAAAAGCTTTGATGCATAAAGCCGCAATTCCGAATAGCGTCGTCACTGTTCGAGTAGAACCAGAGAGATTAATGGTGTCTTCGTTGATCGGAGATTGCGGTGCCGGTGGTGCGGCAGTTACGGTGCAGGCGGTTACGGTGGTTTTACGATTGTTTGAAATTGAAAAAGATTTGGTTGGGCGTTTGTTTGGGAGTAGGTTAGGTTGAAAAGCGAGAAGACGAGAAGAGGATGAGAAGTGTGAAGTTACGGTCATGCCCATACCCATGGTCGCTGCGAGTGACGCCATTGTTGGTATTGTGTAGTGAGCTCTCGAAACAATTTTTAGGGATTAGGTGTTTTTGTCGCTTCTCTCACTCTAAACTTTATATACGTATCATTTTTACTTTTCAAATATTTTAATGCTTCTTGGTCTCAAATATTTTTTAAAATATTAATGTATAATTTATTAATTATTTAAAGAGTATAATTTATTAAATATTTTAATGCTTCTTGATATTGTTCTGGACTGGGCTGACGCTTGGTCCATTGTCGAGCAGACGGAAATTTTACTTAATACCCCTGCATTTATACCCATACCCCTACATTTTTAAAAAAAATACCAATTTTATCCTTATATATTTTAATATTTTATTATTTTTTTTACTTTTTATATTTTCCAGTCTTCCGAAAAATTCATCTCACGATCTATCGGAACACTTTTGAAATGACTTCTGGTAGGCATTTTTCCTCAAACCGGAAGACTTGGACAAAGAGTTCTGGTTCACAAAAATACTGTACCGGAAGACTTCAGAAAAGACTTCTGGTTTGTTAAATTTCGTGAATGTTCACCGGAAGACTTGTAAAAAGTCTTCCGGTTTGTTTTTTAGCTACCGGAGCACTTGCTACAAGTCTTCTGGTTTGTTTTTTAGCTACTGGAACACTTGTAGCAAGTGTTCCGGTTTGAGATTTTTTTTTTTGAATTTTTTTTATGTAATTATTTCAGAAATTCCTTTACAAATATGCGATAAAGATCCGATATTCGTAGATACGTCTGATGTTTTTTTAACAACTCAGAGATTTGGTACACGAGAAGAGGTTTCAGACATTCCTTTACAAATATGCGATAAAGATTCGATATCCGTAGATACGTCTGATGTTTTTTCAACAACTCAAAGATTTGGTACACGAGAAGAGGTAATAAGATGGATTAAAGAGATCGAAATCCGAAATAAAATTACGGTTATCATCACTCGTTCAGATATTAAAACAGACAAGAGAGGAAGAAGTAACAAATTAATATTTGGATGTGATAAAGGAGGAAAACACAAAGATATTGTTAGTGGAACCCAGAGTGCGACGAAAAAATGTGGATGTCCATTTAGAATCAGATCAATTCCAGCGGCTGATGGATCTGGATGGAAGATTGATGTAAAATGTGGAGTTCATAACCATGGTTTACCTGATAGATTAGAAGGTCACACATTTGTCGGTAGGTTGACAGTTGATTAGAAGCAACATGTTGTTGATTTGACAAAGAGAAAGGTTCCACCTAGACATATATTGCTTCCATTGCAAGAGCAAGATCCAGATAATGTCACCCGGATCACGCAAATATACAAACAGAAGAGTATGATAGAAAAAATATAAGAGGTCCTAGAAGTGAGATACAACATTTGTTTAAGCTTATTGAGGAAGCAGGTTATGTTTATTGGAGTGGAAAAAGAGACGACTCTGAAGTAATTAGAGATATCTTTTGGGCTCATCCGGATCCAGTTAAGTTGTTGAATATTTTTTCTATTGTGCTAGTTATGGACAGCACTTACAAGACAGACAAATATAGGCAACCTCTGTTTGAAATAGTTGGCATGACATCAACCGAGTTGACTTTTGCTGTCGCATTTGCCTATATTGAGTCTGAGCAAACTGAGACTTTTTGTTGGGTGCTAAATAAGCTTAAACAATTGCTTGTGAAGAAAGAGTTGTGTCCACAAGTGATTTTGACAGATAGAGATATTGCTTTGATGAAAGCCATTAAAATTGTGTTTCTAAGGTCGATCAATATGCTATGTCGATTTCATATTAACAAGAATGTTGGTGCAAAACGGAAACAATATGTGGCTAGTGACATGCAAAAGAAAATTGACGAGTTATGGACGAATGTTGTATGGGCTAGTGATGAGGTTAAGTATGATCAAAGGTTGAGCCAACTTGAGCAGGCGTGTGTTGATTGTAATGAATTTATTGATTATGTGAAGGATACATGGTTGACACCATATAGACAAAGATTTGTTGGAGCATGGATTAATCGAGTGCTACATTTGGGTAACACTACGACTAATCGGTATGTATTTATTTTTAGTATTTATAAATTGTATTTTTTTTTGAATTTTTTTAAAATATTTTAAATATGTATTAATTTTAGGGTTGAGTCTGCTCATTAGAAGTTAAAGCAAATGTTGGGGAACAGTATTGGTGACATGGTCAAATGTTGGGAGGCTATGAATGACAACTTAAAGTTACAATTGAGTAATATTAGAGCTTCTTTTCAAAAGAGTTTTTATGAAGTTGAGCACGCCCATGTAAGTCCATTTTACAATAATTTACGTGGTTCAGTGTCTCGAGAAGCATTGAGACGCATTGCTGAAGAGTTAAAACGAGTTGATTATGTTGGAACTAACAAGGAAATATATCGTTGTACTCTTAGAACAACCTACAGATTACCTTGTGCTTGTGAGTTGACAGGATATAGAATTGATGGTTTACCAATACCAATAGATGTTGTGCATGTTAATTGGAGAAAACTAAGTATGGAAGTTAAGTTGGACGAAGATGTAGATGATGGATCAGAGGTGGATATGAGTAGTGCAATAGATTAGTTATGGAAAAGGTTTAAGTCACTAGATGTTGTTGGGAAAAGGGCATTAAGAAGTAGGGTTTTTGAACTTGCCTTCCCTACAATGACTTCTATGTGTCCACCACCTGAGAAAATAAAAACTAAAGGGGGAGTCAAGAAGAAAGACAAAAAACCAGTAGGATATGATGTTTATATAGACCCTTCGTATCACGAGTATGTTGATCAAGCATCTCAATCTTCACAGAAGCAATCTCAACCATCACAAACTTCGAAGAAATTGAAATTATCACAGTCTTCACAAAAGCAATCTCAACCATCACATGCTTCGAAGAAGTTGAAATTATCACAATCTTCACAGTCATCTAAGCAGTTCATCCTTCAATTTCCTAATCACATCAGGTCATATATTGATGATATAATTAATGTTGTATCAGATGGTAATTGTGGATTCCGAGTTATTGCTTCATTGCATGGATATGGTGAAGATGGTTGGCCAATGGTTCGTCGAGACTTGGGGTTGGAAATAACACATAATGAAAGATCAAGTTTGTATGTCAATTTATTTACTGATCAATTAGCAGTAGTGAGAGAATCTTTGATGATAGAGGAAGTTGGTCCTCAGCCACCACATAAATGGTTAACTCTACCAGATATGGGTTACGTGATAGCAAATCGTTATAATGTTGTACTTGTCTGTTTAGGGTTGAATGCTGGACTTTCTTCCCTATGACATCTTCATTTTCACCGAATGTAGCAATTTACCGCATTAGTTTTGTAAACAGAAATCATTGGGTTCAGGTACTTAGTTGTTTTTAGATAATGCGATTAAACCTATTTCTTTTTCGTTATTTTTAGTTAATATTGTGAGTTATTTTTTTATTTAGGTAAACATGAAAGAAGGGTTTCCATTACCACCAATGACAGTAGATTGGAAAAAATTTCGTTCTCCAGCAGCAACATCTTGGATGATAGGATTTGCAGGACGTCTACAACATTGGCAACAACTTACGCCTATATTACCAACACATTTTGAATTATAAATTATGTTACTCATTTTTAATTTTAAAACAAAAATCGTGAATTATGTTACTCGTTTTTAATTGCAAAATATGAATCGTGAATTATGTTACTCATTTTTAATTACAAAACATGAATCGTGAATTATGTTACTCGTTTTTAATTGCAAAACATGAATCGTGGATTACGTTACTCATTTTTAATTGCAAAACATGAATCGTGAATTATATTAACACATAAACATAAACTAAATAGGTCAAATTAGTCTAAAAGTTAACACATGAACATAAACCAATTAGGTCAAATCTGTCTAAAGGTTATCATATAATCATAAATATAAATAAAAGTCGCTGTGATAGACCAAGATGTAAAGCTTCGAACAAATCAGCAAACTGTAGGTCATCCTCTTCAGCACCAGTCTGCTGAAGATAACGATGTATCAATGAAGACATACGAGCCACTATAGGATCAGATGGTCCTGCTTCATATACAGGAAATGGCATCTCTGTTGTCGCATCAACACTGAGCGGTACCAGACGAGGATGCGAAACACGATAATACCACTCAAGATACCCATCATCTGTCTCATATGAGGTGGTGGCCGGCGCTGTCGAACGAATCACATTCTAAACGCTCTCATGGTAACTAATCCAGTCAACATCAATATTATCCGCCATTCGAGAATCAAGAGGTGGATGTGGAATATACTGCCTGTATCCAAACTGACGCAAACATCTGTCGGGCATGTATGGAACAATAATGTCACCCCACCTCAGACACCCCCTATAGAGGTATAACTCATCAAACTGACGCCATACTCTATGATTCTCGAATGGGCGCCATATGACATCAGCAGGTGTCAGCTCGTCCAGAATAGGCCGCAATTCATCCACCTTCAAGGTACCTTATCTATATGACCATCTCATCGCTCGTGGGAGACCCACATTATTAGCTGGTATCCAGTTCTCTCCTCTTTTTCCAAGGGTGGGAAAATACTCATGAATCCAGCACTGTTACAAAATGTAAAATAATTAATTATAACATAATAAATTAGATAAATAAAATTAATATACTAGATAAAATTAATTAAAACAAAATATACTAAATTAAAATAAATACCTGTAGGAGAGTCGGATAACCACCAAGCTGCTTACAGCTGAACATAGAAGCATCTCCGAGATATCGGTAAAGAGTAACCAACACAACTGCTGCCCAACTGTATCCTGATAAGCCATCCAAGTCTATAAACAGTGACAGGTATCGTGCCTCGACAAGCGTAAACGTCTTGTCCGCAAAAATAGTGGAACCCACTAACATCAGCAAATAAGCTCTAGTGGCATAATCCCATCGAGATGCAGCTCTGTGCTCTACGAACCGATCATATAACCACTCCAGCTTATAGTAGGAACCCCTGCACTCACGGACTTATTGTTGTGCTATTCTATGTGACACTCCTAAATAATGAACAACCCACTCAACAGCAAGCGCTTCACTGATATCTGGAGGGTTCCATAAAACTCCCCTGATGGGCAAGTGAAGCAGGCAAGATACGTCGTCTAGAGTAATCGTCATCTCACCAAACGACATGTGAAATGAAGATGTCTCTAGATGCCACCTCTCTGCAAAAGCGGAAACTAGGTTTGTGTCTATCTTTGTTAAACTGGTTCTCTAAAGTGAAGCTAGACCAGACCTAGATATCCAGCTCTCCATCTCTCTGGGTAACTGTAGTGGAACCCTCTGAGTCAACTTTATCCCATGTCCCGCCACCTTTAACTCTTTCTTCGACCTTCTCTCCTGAAAAAAATTAAAAGTAAAAATATTATAAAATTCAATATTAAAAATTCGAATTCTATTCAATATTAAATAATTTTCGTTTACTTACCTCACCAAACCATATACGGTATGCAACATGCTGTTTGTATCTAACTAACAGAGACGTATCATACGGTCCTCCGGGATATCCAACCGGCTCGGATGCTGATGCTGATGCATCAAAATGCTCTTCTTCAGCCATCCTCGATGACTCGCCCCGTCCTAGTCCACGAGGGATCCTACCATCTCTGTCTCTTGTGCGCACCACTGGAAAAAAAAATATAATTAAAAAATAAAAAATAAATAAATAATTAAATATAATTAGAAAACAAAAATAACAAAAATTAAAAAATAAAAAAGCAATGAACCGGAAGTCTTTCTTTGAAGACTTCCGAAGTTGAAACGCATCTTTAAGAGAACCGGATGTCTTTAGGAAAGACTTCCGGTGTGTAAACTAAATTCTTTTCTAAATCGGAAGTCTTCAAAGAAGAGTTCCGGTGAGCAACCTAAAAATTTTGTGTTCCGGAAGTCTTACTCTTAGTGTTCCGGTATGTAGTTCAATTGAAATGTGTTCCGGAAGTGTTTGGAAAAGAGTTCTGGTATGTATCAAAATTTGGAGAGTTCCGGAAGTCTCAAAATGGAAAGTGAGAAATGGAAGTGAAAAATGAAAAAAATGAAAGATTATAAATTTACTAAGGGTATTTTGGTCTAAATTTTTTGAGTGTATGGGTGTAGGTATAAGGGTAGGGGTATAAGGTAAAAATTCCCGAGCATACCCAAACTCCACCAGGTTGGAAGGCTCAATAAGACTTCATCGTCGGACAGAGACCTATCGGACAAACCAACCCCTCCCGTCGGGCACGAACCAACGGCAGTCGAGCAGGATCCTCATATCTGCCCGACTCGCCTTTCTTCTTCCCCACGGTCGGGAAAAACCCATCTAGCTCGGGAAGCCCCTCTGACCTCCCCCACGTTTTCAACGTGTCCCCTACGCGGAGACACGTCATCAGATAATTATATGTGTCCTGATTATTCGGTCTTCCACCTCCCGAATAGCACAAAACAGTTACACTAGGGAGAAGACCACATGTTGGTATTCCCGACGCCACATCAGCCCTAACAATTACCAGCGTTGGGCTTGGCAGCCTAACCCAACGCATAGTAATCGTTGGCCCTGTGTTGGGGGCTCATTATAAATACTCTCTTCCACTATAGGGTCAGGTAATCTAATTCTCACTTCCTTCTCTCGGTACTTGTTATCACTCTGCTCGTCCCTTACTTTGGCATCAGAGTGTGTTTCAGGTACACCCCCTCTGTCCGTCAAGTCAACAGTTCGACAGCTCAGACGCGTAGCCAACAAACGATCTCTCTAATCAAGTACGATTATATATATATATATATATATATATATATATATATATATATATATATATATATATATATATATATATATATATATATATATATATATATATATATATATATATATATATATATATATATATATATATATATATATATATATATATATATATATATATATATATATATATATATATATATATAAACTCTCAACTAGTAAATGCATTATCTTTAATCTCAATTATTTATTATATTTTTATTTAGTTAAAAATTCATTATTTTCAATAAAATTCATAACCTGACATTCATTAGCTTACAAATAATAAAGAAGTGCATTCATTCACTAAATCTTCTTTTTAAAATAAGTTATGTCTTTAAAATTAAGCAAACACACTC